AAAAAACTCAAAAAAAAAAAAAAACAAAACAAAAAAAACAAAACAAAAACAAAACAAACAAACGCGTGTGCGTGCCTAATCGTCTCATCCGTCTGCTATTATTCGAATGGTCATACAAAAGGACTCTTCGTAGTCCAACTTACAAAGAAAAAAAAGACAAATAATATATTTATATCTATATTTATTGGAAGAAGTTGATAGAAAAATCTAAAATAGCAACTTTGTGTAATTAAATAGGTTGAATTACTATTAAAGGAAATATAGTAAAAATTACTTTAATATTTATAAAAAATAAACATTAAATTAAACCAATCTGTTGTAAATCGTGTAATTCGATTAATAACATGACTTTTTATATAAATAAAGTGGTATCATTTCTGAAAATTAATTTGTGATAATCATCGCAATAAAAAATCAATTATTCGTATTAATTATGAAAATCAATGCAATTTTTTATTATTTTGGTAACCAACCATACAACATGTCTTAAAAAGTGTCTATGAAATATATTTCATTTCTAGAAAATATTATTTGAATATGCACGGTAAGATTGCAAATATAATACAAAATAAAAACTAAAAATCAATTATGCAAATTTTATTATGATATTTATCACAATGTTACATTAATTGAATCTTATTTATCAACATTAATAACTAATCAAGGTGATTTCTTATTCATTTGGTAACTAATACCAACATTTTTTTATCGTATATTCAAAAAATCATTTAATTGATAGGATTAATTTATAATCCTTTGATTTATCAGTTACTCAACTGTTCCAATTTTTAAAAAATTATAAACTTAATTTTTCAAAATATCAAAAAAATTAATTTAACTATTATCTTTAATAACAAATCAATCTTTATGCTTAATAACAAACCATATGTTCTCCTGTTTTGTTGGGTATCTGACCATATATAGATCGAAATATACATGAGTTAACGAGTCATATATAAAAAAAGTAATTTAACTATTTATATTTAATAACAAATCAACATTAATAACGATTTTCTATTCATTTCGTAACGAGTCATATATAAAAAATTATCTATTCAAGAGTTAAAAAATATCTTTTGATTTTATCAATAACTGCACCAAATTAATATTTTTAAAAATTCATATTGTGATTCAAAATATTATAACAAATTTCATATAAATTAATAGATTAGAAAAAAAACATTTATGATATTATAAATTATAAAATAAAATAAAATAAAATAATTTTGATGTAAATAAAAATTAGTAATTTTTTTATCTTTGAATAATATATTTACCATCTTTTTCAATTAAGTATTGGTTATAGTATTTGCCACAATTTTTCAACTTTAGGCTAACTTATTAAGAAATCGAAATAATATACTGTAACAATGTATGAGTATGAGAAGAGAGAGAGAGAGAGAGAGAGAGGTATTATGTGATTATTATTTATTGATAATATTTGAATATGTTAAATTTTTATTATCCTTAATTATAAACAAGATCTAAAATGACAATTATTTTATAACGAGTGAAATAAATATATAAATTATATATTAAACTACCATATACCATACAATTAAATATAAAATAATTATTAATATTCAAAAATATTTTTATACTAATCAATATTGCTTCACTAATTTAATACATTCAATTATAATTATTGCCCCGTGCATCGCACGGGCTATGTACTAGTAATATATAAGAAAAAATAAGTTTTATTGTAATTTAACTGGAGTCGATCTCGAGCTTCTGATCCTCGAGTTTGGATTCGAACTTTTATCGAGTCGAGTCAAACTCTGGTAGTTAATTAAACAAACTGATGAACAAGCCTGAGTTTGGTTTGTCAATATTAATAAACTGAGCTCAAACTTTAACAAATTGAGCTAAGTTAAGAGTTCATAAGATTAAGCAAGTGGTTTCTAGGCGGTCGTCAGACCGCACAAACGTGGTTTCTAGCGTTGCTAGTGTCGGGTTTCTAGGCAGTCGTCAGACCTGTCCTCCCATTTTATTCAGCTTTGGGCTGCGTTCCAAGTTGTATCTTTGCACGTTTGTGCGTTTGTTATATAATTTCTCTATCGTTTTGGCAAAAAAAAAAAAAAAGAGTTCATAAGATTAAGTAAAAGAAAAGAAAAAATCCTATTTTGAGCCTAACGAAATTTAGCAAGTGGTTAACTCGTTACTAAACAAGCTTAAATAAGTCAAACAAACCCGAGCATTGACGAATCGAGCTAAACCTTAGGGGGGTGTATTAATTTAAGATTCTAAAAGACTTTGAGGATTTTACTAAGAATAGGATTTTATGGGATTTTATCGGTTTTTATGGATTTTGTAGAACTTATTAGAAATCCCTAGAAGTGACATGTGGTATTGTTCAGGACTTCTACAGATTTCTTAAGACTTTTCAAGAATTTTGTAGACTTTTATTATTAATTGAATAAACATCAACATTAATATATAAATATACCATTGTGAGAACTTAGTGACAATATTTATACATGAAAGACAATAAAATTATTTTGAAAAGAAGAAATGTGAATTTTCTATTTTATTGTTTGTTTATTTATCGTTTTGTACAAAAATAGTCCAATTTGTTATAATTTTTATTTTATTCAATAAACTATATAATCTCAAAGACATACAATAACTATATTTTTTTATCTCACTTATAATTTTTTATTCTATCAACCACATAATCTCAAGAAATAATTATAATTTTAACTGACAGCAATAATAACAATTATGTTTGAAACACATATTTGGCGATATTATGATCGTTCTATAAACTTGTGTGGAAAATTAAAATATTGAAAAATATATAAAGTAAAAAAATCAATAAGATGCAAATATGATGAACAAAAAAGTTGTGTCTCATACAATTTCATATAAAATAAAAATAATAAACAAGTCCAATTTCTACTTTATAGCATCATTCTACATTTCATTTGCTATTGCATCCCTCCATGCATTAGCGGTCGCTCTTTGTTGTTCTTGACTTTCAAAAAATGGACCAAAATTATCTCCTTCGGTTATTGGACAAGATTGACCTGTTTCTTGTTCAGGTTCTGCTGGAAATTCATCAGAGCGACATTCTTTTCGTAAAAAGTTATGTAACCCTGCACATGCTAATACCAACTTCGCTTGCGTATGAAACGGAAATGGAGGTGACGATTTGAAAATCACAAACCTTGATTTGAATATACCAAATATCCTCTCAACTACATTCCTTAATGAAGAATGCCTGAGATTAAACAGTTCCTTGGCATCACTTGGGTCACGACCTTGACCTGTAAAATCATTAAGATGGTAGCGAGTCCCTCGATACGGAGTAAGAAACTGTCGTCTATTTGGATATCCACAATCGGTCAATAGGTACTTTCCTGAAAATAAAATATATAATTATCTCATGCTTGTCACATTTAATAACAATGTGTTAAAGAAATATGAAATGAAAGAGAAAATTATGAATTAATACCATCAGGAATTTTGAGTCCGTTTCTTCTTGTTAAGGCATCCGTCAAAATTTTTGAATCATGAGCTGAACCCTCCCACCCACTGAGAACATATATAAACTCCAGATCAAAGTTACAAGCAGCTAAAACATTTTGCGAAATTTGTCCATGCCGATTCCGATAACTGCTTCTATCATGTCCTATTACCATTGCTGGAATATGTGTGCCATCAATAACCCCAATACAGTCCTAAAAATTTTTAAAATTTTCACCATTAGAAAACAATATAATGATATTATAAAACTAAAGTAAATAATGTTATTACTTACTTTAAAGTAGGGATAAAATCGTGTACTTTCTCTTATTTTCTGGGGAATTGCAGATCCTGGCTTAGCCAACATATCTACGGAGTATTTGGTTAGTGCTTTCAACACCTTGTTGAAATTCTGGCTGGCGGTGAAATGTGATCGACCAAATACTTGTCGTACTTGACAGTATCGATTATTTTGCCCAATAATAAGTAAGAATGTCGCAAGCATTTCCTCAACAGTAACAAACCTTGTGTCGCTCAAGAGTTGTTTCTCTCTAATGATACGACATAATTTCAAGAATATATCGGGGTACATTCTATAGACCTCTCGAAAGTCGTTAGAATCTTCCCCAAGTATTTTATGTATATAATCATAACCATCCACAGTTTTCGGCCTTCTGCTTAATGAGTAATTGACACGATCATGGAACATATTAACCATAAGCACATTTGCCATGTAAAAAACCGCTTGAATGAGAAAGTATGAATACCGAATGTATTTATATAACTCTTCTCTCCTGTCATCTTCTTCAATTTCATCTATGTCCATTAGATCATCTTCGCGCATATCAATATCAGACATTATGTGACCTGTGATAATTAATAAGAGAGGAAACAATATGAATTAATAAAATTTAAATAATACACAAATTAAAGATAAATAATTCCAATATCAAACAAGCCAGAAAATCCATACAGTTCATAGTACTCCAATAACATAAAATCCATGAAAATAAAAACCAAAGTCCACCATTCTCAAAACAATGAACATAGACCTAGAAGTTCATAATATAAATCATTTCAACTTATATGCTATCCACTCAGCTTGTTCATCCAGGGACATGTTAAAAAACTCTGACTTTTTTGCTTTGGTATTAAGCAAATCAAGAGTTTTGAAACGATCCTCAGAAGTTAAGCCTGGAATCTCCTTAATCAGATCCCAACAGTTGAACTCTTTTGTGTCAATTGACTCAATAGCACGAGTAAACTTTTCCACATTTGATGTAAGTTTTTCTACGAGATCTTGGGTATCTTTAGGATCAAATGAAGTAGCCTTAGTTTGAGAATCAGTTTTAGCTCGTTTTCTTGGAGGTGGACGAGGCTCCGAGCATGGTTGTTGAGTTGAGGTTGGCATGAAAGAGTTCTCAGGAGATGGTGGAGGAAAAGGATCTTGGGTACTTGACAGAATAAAGGCATCACTTGAGGGATCATATGTGAAATCATCTAGCAAGCTCCCATTTTCTCTAGTTTCTTCTATAATGTCGTCTCCTATGGCAATAGAGTGTGTCCCTCTAGCTGTACCGTTACCAACTGCAATTCTCAAATCTTCAAAGTCTGGATGAGGGTCAGTCTGCAAGCTTGAATCTTTAGGATGAGACTGGTAAAACAAAGAAAAAATAATAACTGTAAGTTGTACCGAACTTCTTATTTAAATTGTTAAGGTATGATTCATATATATAAAAGGGGGGAGGGGTGGGGAGAGGGCTAACCTTAAAGTAATCTTTCCAGATTTCATCATTTGCAGTGAAGAACTTTGTTGCGGAATTCCATCCAAAGCCAGAGTTATGCCGCATAAGCTCATGGTACTTGGCATATTGTTTCTTAAAATATTTCACTCGACTTGTGTATTGACTGTAAGTCCGGACGATCCCTAACTTTTCATTCAAAGGTTTTAGTATATGTCTTTCGACGGTTATCTTATTTATTTTTCCAGCATGGTCACGCCAACCACGATTTGAAACATCAACCATAAGTTTAAGAAGTTCATTGCTCTCTTCAACAGTCCAACTTTGATATCCTGAACCTTGATCATTTTCTTTCATTGGATCTCCCATCATATATTATAGACTTCTTAATCAAAAAACAAATGAGAAAAAACAAAAAATAAGAATTTAAAAAAAAAAAAACAATAAAACTTTATGGTAACACCAACTTCAATTATGGCTGAGTATTTAGCACTATAATGCATAAATAAAGTATTTGATTAAGTTTCATTCAGTTCCATCTATAAAAACAAAAAAACTTTATGGTAACACCAACTTCAATTATGGCTCATATTCCACTCCATGGTATATATACAAACAGAAAGCTCTCACAGGAAAGCATATAAACAAAATGAACCCATCTATGCTGCAAAAAGAGGTAAAATACTATAGAGTATAGACATGTATTAAAATTTCTCCCGGCCATGAACAACTCAATAAAAGAAGAAGAAAAAAGAAAAACATATAAAAAGAATATAAACAATTTTGAGCAGCCCCTTCAACTAAACCCAAAAACAGAAGAGAGCAGAAAAAAACCTTTAGAAAAGACTGCACCTTCCACTAAGAATTTAAAGGAAAATAACAAAAAAATTAATAGAACCACACATAAAGACAAATACACACAATTTTTTCCACTCAGGTGACTTGAATAAATCGACTTGTGGTAGGGTTCACACTCTCCTTCAAACAAGTACTTAAAACTTATGTCAAAGTAATACATTGCTCGAGATAAATAAACCGATAATCCAATAATGAAGCCATCTACACATGAACAAGAAAAATACGAAAAAGTGTTGCAGTCAAGAATAAATCAAAAGTGTTGGTTTTTGCAGGACAAAAACCAACAAAATAATAAACATACAACATGAAACAAAATCAGAATTGTCATACAAAAACACAATTGTTATTATACATGCTAATCACAAGAATAGATGTTGGTACCTTTTAGAATAATTCAAGAGCAAAGTATGAGAAAAGTCGTCCTCTTCGTCCCTCATATACTGGTGGGATTTGTAATGGGATTTGGTATATATATTTTTCCATTGAAATCTCTTCAAATCCAAATAAATGACAAATCCACAAAAGTTGTAAAAGAAATAAATATCTCTTGATTTTATGGGACTTTAAAAAGTCTAGATTGAATACCTATGGATTTTAAAAGACTTTTAAAAAGTCATTGAAAATCCTAATTGAATACCTCTAAATTTTTTAAAATCCTAAAAAGTCTTATTTATATACACCCAGATTTCATAAATCCTAAAAAGTCTTTAAAAGTCTTTAGAATTCTTAAAGGAATACATCCCCCTTAATGATTGGTTTCGTTCAACAATTTTATGCTAAAATCAATGTGCTTTTAATATCAGTTTTTTTTTGTTAATTATCCAAATTTTATGTACATAAACTATTTATATTCCATTAAAATGGGTTTAAATAAATGTTAAAAAGGTGAAATAATATTTTTTCTACAAGTAGTATGATTAAAGAGTTGAGATTAAAAGGACTTTACGATCCTATTAAGGGCAATCAGATATTTTATGGAGCTATCCATAACTTTATGTATTGACACGTGTTCAATGTGTATTTATTGCAGGACACGTATCAATACATCATTTGTGGATAACTATGAATAACTCCATAAGTCGAGTCATTCGATGGCTCCATAACAAAACTGTGACGGCAATAGGACAAATTTCCACTAATTTGATTCTTACATGTAATCTACCTTCATTTGTAGATTTCATTGTTTTAGTAAACGTTTGTTTAGCCTACTTATGTTTGGTACAATGTCATATTTAGCCGATACTTATGAAGTCCTATTTCAAAATATAACACCACATTCCATTTACTTGAAAAACACATTAAAAACATTTGACTTTGGTGCATAAATAGAAATTATTTCAAAGCAATAGTGACTTGCGTTAGCGACTTTAGACAAAAATAAATAAAAATAATTTAATCAGTAATGGTGTATTACTGTATTTTTATAGAAATAAAAATAAAAAGGTATTTTATTAATTTATTCAATAATTAATGATAAGTGATTAAACATAAAGTTAGATCTTGACTCTATTTCCATTTTACAATTTCTTTTTTGTTTTTTTATTTACATAAATAATCACTTTACCATTTCTATTGGTAATCGCTTTTCCTTTTATTCTCACCTGTCATCACCGCCGTCTGAGCCGTACTGCCGCCCACATTCACAGCCGCGCCGCTGTGGATTCGAGGTTCAGTCAGTTGCCTATTATATCCATCGTTGTCTCTCGCGTGAGCTGATACGCGTAATTAGACGATACATCCCATTCTTATTTTTTGCGGCTCACGAGGCCATTTTTTTATGCGCGAGATTTGAGAATATTCGTCGTGCTTGCCGAGAGATCGGAGGGTTGTTAAGGTTTGTTTCGCGGTGACAATCGCCGTTCGACGCCATTTGGGTGCGCGGCGGTTCGATCCTGTTATGCTCGATTTGGCTTGTGTTTGAATTATTAAGATGTACTTTGTTTTTGTGATATATGATTTTGGTTTTTAATCTGCATACCTTTCTATAGCTCATTGAATTAGTGTTTTTTTGTGTTTCCCATTTTGCTTGTTCGGAATTATAGTGTATGAAGAAGTGTGTTAATTACTTGAGTTGTTTGTTGGTATCTCGAAATTCAAATGATGGTGTGTGAATTCACTCTGCTCTTCAATTATGCCATGAAAAAGTTTCATTTTTTCTTTTGCTGTGATTTAGAGGATTGATGGTATAGCATGATTTATGCCATGGTGATTTCTCTTTTCCTACCAAGTAATTCTGTAACTCTTGCTGTTTTTGCTGTATACAAAACTAATTACCCTATCTTCATCATAGTTTGTCATTGTACATTGCACATAGGTACTGCTAGTTATCCATTGGTTGAACTTTGAGAACCCAAGATTCCGAGTCATTGCTTGTGAAACTTCATGAGTAAGAAATGTGCATCACTTATGATATTTTTCTTATGGTTTGCAGATATTGTTCCGAAAAGGTGTTATCTTGATGTATTGATGTTTGGATGGTTCTGATCCGTTTAGACCGAAGGTATCAAGAATGAAAGGAGGCATTCAAGGACTCAAAATTTCGCAGGTCTCCCTCTTCCTTCTTGGGTTAGTGTGTGTTGCTGTGCTTGCATTGACATGGAAGAAGACCGCATTGCTGGCCTCGTTCGTCCCTTCTTCCCAGAGTAGTGTCTTGCAACTGGATCAAATAGGTTTACCTCTCGTGCAGTGTGTTACTAATCTGATTCACGTGCTTTTTTTTTTTTTTTTTTTTTTCCTCCTAGCCAATGAGTAGAGTATGGAAAGTGCGCATTTGTCATTGTAGAGTTTTAAAGTGACTGCTCCTCGACTTACATTATATCTCATGGTCACTTTACTCCAGACCAAATTAGTTCATGAATTCTGATGTCCGTGTTGAAGAATTCTTTTGCATCTGTAATTTATTTTGTCATCTTTTTATGTAAGTTAACGAATCTAAACTATGCTAAGATCTTAACTTACCATCTCTGGGTGACCAAGATGTGTGAGGAGGAGGTGAAAGATTTAGTTTCCAAAAAAATATTGTTTGAAATAAGAATTTTGTCTGCACTTTGAGGTGAATGGGAACTAGAAGTGCACTTATGGGGATACAGAATTAAACAATTAATTAAATAAAACTTGCATTTGTTTGCTGCAAAATTTTTTTGGCTCTGGTACAGGCTTGAGGTTAGATTTGCTACAATCTTTTTAATGATTAATGGTTTTCCTGGTGATTACATTTTTCTTATTTTGTTTTACTTGTTAAAATGATTAACATATTTGAAATTAAAATACTAGGTTAGATTTATCGTGGATATGGTCTTTGGAATCTGTTATGGCCCTGTTCCTTAGTATACCTATTAGATTCAACCCAAGTGTCTTTCTTTTAATACTTTCATAACTTGTTTTGTATTTATATGTGGGGGTAGTTGTGTGTGCGTAATCCTTTATCTCTTTGTCACAAGTTGTGATTTTGTTATCACTATTTTTGTCGTGCTTATTCCACGTTCCATATTTTATTATTTCAGAAAAGACTTCAACTTTGTAAAATAATTTCTGTTGTGCAGATGATCCTGACAATGTTACAGAAAGAACAGGGTCACAAGAAGTTTCTCAAAGAGAAAATAAATCAAAACATGAAGAGGTGGTGCCAGAATCATCTGTCGAAAGTGAGCAAACTGGAAACTTACCCGCTACCACTGAGAATAAAGGTCACATTCAGAGATAAATTCATTTCTGGCATGTCCACCATGAAGTTTCTTCTCACAAGATCGGATTCTGGATGTTCTAATTTTTAATGTATCTTTTCTCTTTCTGCAGAAATTCTTCCCAATGTTAAAGAAAAAACAAAATTAAATGAACACCCTGGTGGAAAAGACATATCAAAACAAGCAGAAATTGAGCCAGACAAATCTTTAAAACCATTGGAAACAAGAAATTTTTCGGCTAGTACTGAGAGAAAAGGTTAAATTCTACTCCGGTTTACTGATTTGGCATTTCCTGTGAAGTAGGAAATCCAGGTCTTTATAATGCATTCACGAACACGATCTGATCCTACATGTTGTGTCTATGCATAAGTAATGCATGCAGCATTTCCCTTTCTGCACCCGACTATTTATGAAATAACATTTCTCTCATTAAGTTCCCGTTGTTTCAGCAAAAGGAAGCTATATAGTAAAAATTCGAGTTTGCATTATTTCCTTGGTTTTCCTATGATTTTAGTTTCCGTATATCTGACGTCCAATTTATTGTGTAGTGGATATTTCATTTCATCTACTGCTTATGAATATTTCATATATTGAAAAAAGCACTTACGATATTTTGTAACCCATTTTTCATATTTCAGATTGTAATTATGCAAAAGGTAAATGGGTATTTGACAATAGCCGACCTTTATATTCTGGTTTCGGCTGTAAGCAATGGTTGTCGCCAATGTGGGCCTGCCGCCTGACACAGCGTACAGATTTTGAATACGAAAAACTACGCTGGAAACCAAAGGACTGTAAAATGGAAGAATTCACGCGTTCCAAGTTTCTGCAGAGGTACATTTAAGCTATGTTCTAAAAATCGGCCTATGCACCCACCTAGGCGGCTATTCTAGGCACATGTATTTTTTTTCAATTTATTTTTGAATAATAAAAAAATATATTTTTTTTATGCATGAAACATACGTTAATTATATAATAAAAACTTATAATAATCATATTTGAATTAATACAGTAGTAATGTATGTATTAGACTTTGCATAATATTTGTATTTGGCCATATTAATTAATATATTTCGTGTAATATATCTTATAAATTATGCATGATGTAAATATAAATAAAATTAATATTTTTACAGCCCCTCCTAGTCTTTCCCTAGGCGCTAGGCCCAATCCAGCCCGCCGCTTGACGAGTGCTTAGCGACTTTTAGAACATTAATTTTAGGTTCTTACAAAGTTTCATATGAAAATTCCATATTCTTCTCCTGGATCTGTTGTTGCTAGCTGGTAGGGCATTTGAAATGACTCCAAATACGGAGTGAAAAAATCCTCCAAAATGACACTAAAAATTAACTCAAGTAGATATCAAATGAATTGGAAAGATTTTTTTTTTTTTTTTTTATCAAATTAACCTCAATATTATTACTGATTTACTGTTATTACCGTTGTTATATATTTTCTTTAGTTATCCGTATTAAATAAAAACCTCCTCAACTGCAGAATGCTGAATAAAACCCTGGCGTTCGTTGGGGACTCACTCGGCCGCCAGCAGTTCCAATCCCTGATGTGCATGGCGACAGGTGGAGAGGAAAGTCCCAACATCCTCGATGTGGGCCACGAATACGGGCTTGTCAAAGCCCGCGGTGCCCTCAGGCCCGACGGCTGGGCCTACCGTTTTCCCACCACCAACACCACAATCCTCTACTACTGGTCCGCAAGCCTCTGTGATCTACAACCAATCAATTCTTCTGACCCAAATACCGAAATCGCCATGCACCTCGACAAGGCCCCTTCCTTTTTAACCCGGTTTATTCACAAATTCGACGTCCTTATTCTCAACACCGGCCACCACTGGAACAGAGGTAAACTCAAGGCCAACAAGTGGGTCATGTATGTGGGCGGGGCCCCGAATACGAACAGGAGAATTGCGGAAATTGCTGGCGCGAAAAATTTTACGGTGCACAGTATTGTGAAATGGGTCGATTCGCAGCTGCCTTTGTATCCCGGTTTGAAAGCTTTTTTCCGTTCGATTTCGCCTAGGCATTTTTTTAATGGGGATTGGAATACAGGGGGCACTTGTGACAATACTACCCCTCTTTCTGGAGGGAAGGAGGTTTTGAAGGATGAGTCTAGTGACCCTGATGCTGCTGAGGCTGTGAAGGGGACTAACGTGAAGCTTTTGGATATAACTGCTTTATCTGAGTTGAGGGATGAAGGACATATTTCACGTTACAGTATTCGAGCAACGCCAGGTATGCAGGATTGTCTGCACTGGTGTATGCCTGGAGTTCCCGACACTTGGAACGAGATTTTATTCGCTCAGATATGATTTTTTTTATTTTAGATGATTTTTAAGATCCCGGGAGAGGATTTAGGAAGTCGAAAGCCTTTTAGTTTTTTTCTTTTTTCATATTATTATAGTTTGTTTTTCAGCATTATATATGGTTACTTGGTTGTTTGCAGTTATTCTTTGCTTAACACAGCTTTTTTACGAGTTTAGTTGTGTGGTCGGATGAGTGAGCACACGGTGGAATTTCGACATCTATACGTGTTACACGAGCTATTTTGTTTGTGTTCTGTTGTATTATTATATACATTCATTGATCCATGTACAAGGATGCTGAATTCTTTAGGTGTAATTTATCTTATAGCCTAGTCCCAGTTGTCAATTTTGCTTATTGTGAGGGAAATGATTTTGAATTTTGGTGTTGTGCACGGGAGAAAAATTTATTTGAGAAACTGATAATATGTTCATGATTAGGGCGGCAAACGAATCAAGCCGAATCGAGCATCAGCTGTATTGACTTTGAGCCATGCTCGATGACCAATCTTGCTCGATGCTCGACTAAGGATCAACTTGACAACGAAACACATGTTCAAGATTGGCTCAAATTTTGGTTGAGTTTTTGCTAAAAAAAATTAAGTAAAAAATGTTGAGAGAAGGGTATGTTAATAATTTACATTCAAGCTGCTCGTGCATTGGTTGAATTTCGGGTAAAAATTTTCAATCAAAAACTGTCGAGTGAAGGATATTTAAATAATTTACGTACATTCTCATCGAGCGTTCAAACAAAGCTCGAGCTTGAGTCGAGCGTTGACTCAAAAGCTCAAGAGCCGTTTTGACTTGTTTGTAACCCTACTCATGACGAAAGCTTCACATTTAAATCTCAATAATCTTTTATCAAAAATTGAAGCTGCCAACTAATGCTTTCTTAATCAAGAACGGTAACTCTAAAAGAGAGATCACATCAACCTGCAAAAAGTGAAGCTTCCATGGAGAATTGAGAATTCTGGTAAGAGCTACCAAAATGGGTCAATCAAACGAATCAAAATCGACAATCTCCAGCCAGACTTAAGCAGAGTTCGAATCCTGTGCCCTATACACAAGTTTGTTACAAGAACGAGACGAACTGCGATTTTTAAATATTACTCAAACAATCAATATGAGCCATAAAAATTACTGCAGGTGAATGAAACACAATAAATAACTGTAAAAAATATGCTTCCTCATGCTGTAAGGCATCGATACATACACGTTGCTATATCTAACAAGGACACCACTTCATCTCTAGAAGTATATCATCAGTATGTAGGTACTCTTTCCTACCATCACAATAGCAAAAATACTGAAGCATATATATGGCAGCTCTTTGCTCCTAAAACCTGCAGAATAAGCAACCCCACATAAAAATTTTGACATAAAAATATAGAAGTCTAGACCAGTGAAAATGCTAATTCCTCACATCTAATATGTTAGCGGGTACAATGAACAAACAAAATAGGCCGTGGTGAACTTGATAGTACTTGCCATGATTTCTATTGGAAGGAAAAAAAAAAAAAAAAAAAAAAAAAAAAATTGTGAACTGATCAAACTGCCTCTGTAAAGGTCTAACTGTTAAGTGATTCCTTTACCTGAGCCTCTCTACACATAATTTCCGAAGACAAAGATGGAGACGACACCTTTGTCCTGAAATAAATAATAGTATTGACACTGATGACCTGATCAAACTGCCTTGTTTTTATATCATCAAACCCCCTGTAACCAGAGTGTATAATTTAATGAGAATAATATAACTTCAAGAAGTTGTGCGGTGTAGATAAAAATTATACAAGAAATTGTCAAGACATTTTTAGAAAACCAGAAACATGAAGGTCTTCTTCTTTGCCTTCCTTTAAACAAATTCTTACTCTTTTTTATATAAAAATACTCAAGGTATCACATAAGACCCGGTATCTCTGGTCGACTTGCCTGGTAAATTATACAGTTTTGAGGAACAAATGACTATTATTAAGATGTGTGTACAGTTAAGATAAAGTAGATACAAACTGAAAACGCAAATTTTTATGCAAGAAGCTTTACATGAAAATTGTCGTTATATTCATTCAACCCTNTGAACAGATAGGGTGTCCAGTAACTACTCATAAGAGGGTGCCAAGTATCAAGTCTCAACCAATTTAAATGAAGGACTATATATCAACAGCAATTTTTTTCTTTTTTTCCAGAATTCTAGGTCTCAGGGGATTACAAAGTCTCAATCAAGGAATTACAGAATGATGTGCCAGCTATGTGGCGTCTTACACGGAGTTAAATCAGGATACAAAATAGCCAAAAAGCATCAATAACAGCCAAGTTGTTATTTCATTCTTTTCGATCCAACACAAATCTAATACAATAAGCAAGCAAACAGCATTCAACAAACAAAAGATAGTATTTCAAGAATGAGAGACTCACCAAGATTTTTCAGAGCCATGAATCTGTCCATTATTTCGAACCTTCCTCCAAAAAACAGCGACTTCCTCTTCAACTTCGACAAATTTTACTGGTACTCTCAGTTACGCAAAACCCTTTACGGATCATTTCTTCCAACCACGGCCTAGCCTCTTCAGTCCGTCCAGCTTTGGCTAAACCATGGACAATTATATCATAAGTCCATCTATTGGGCACAAACCCTCTCTCTCTTAATCTCTCAAAATAGCCACATGCATGGTCTATTCCCTTCATCCCAAGTTTTCTCAACAGCATATTATTAGTGTACAAATCCATGCGGAAGCATTCTTGAATCATTTGCTCCAACTCATCACCATCATAATCTTCTTCGAAGGAACCCGAAAACAGACCAATGATGTGACCTAACGTCCAACAAACAGGCGATAAACTTTGTTTATGGCTTAAATAGACCCAAGCCCTGTATATTTTCCTGGTCCTCAATGAATGCAACAGAAGTACATTCCCGATGAAGGAAGAAATGGGACGACCCATTTGAGTCATATCATTCACAAGATCTAGAGCATTACGATATCTCCCTAAATCACAATATACCTTTATAAGGTCCTCGTAGCACTCGACAGTCGGTGTCAACTTTTTTGACTTCATATCATCCAATATTTTCGATGCATACTCTGGCTTTTCAGCCTTACAGAGACCAGTAACCATAACGTGCCACAGTCTCCTTCTATGCCATCTCGTGGACAATTCACCGAACAAACTCAAAGCCTGAGCAATTTTCCTGCTCTTGAGATAACTCAGCAACACTAGAATGCTGGAAGAAAGGTCAGGTTTAATACCGTTTCTTCTCATCATTTCGAAGACTTGGCTAGCTAGTTCTGGTCTCCTTGCACGACCAGCCCCGTCAATAAAATATTTGTAAACAACAGAGGCAGGCAACTGATTTCGAGCAAGCTGCATCTCAAGCAATCCAAAAAATTGATTCTCAGAATTATCTGATTTACATATGCAACATATCACTTCTCTCACCAATTTCCTATTTGGTCTATAACCTTTCTCTTGCATTTCCATGAGTAATCTAGCTGCAATACCTACTCTGCTCGACTTACTAAACCCACTGATCAGGTTCATGTAAGTACTCTTCTGGGATTTATTATTCAGTGAACTCGTCAGGCTGTGGACTAAGTACCCTTCTTCAACCCTCCCTGCCCGACAAAAATCGGATATAAACTTGTCATACGTTGCATTATCAGGCATCACGTTCCTATCCAACATAAAAAGAACGAGCTCCTTCATCTTATCAAGCCTTCCATCTCTGTACAGAGCATCGGTAATAATAGAAAATGTCTTCTGTCCTGGTATAAAGCCCTGTTCCATTGAATTCCTCAACACGCGATAAGCTTCATCAACACTGGCATCCCCCAAAAGAGTATTTATAAGATTATTATACGCCGTGTAATTGACAGAAAGGCCGAGTTCGGCCCGTGAATTGTACAACTCCATCGCAATATCCATCCTCCCCACTTTGCAGAATAAGCATAAAGTAGCATTCATAGTGACATCATCAGGCAGCATCTCGTTTTCCCTCATGTCCACCAGCAAATCATACACCTCTTCAATCCTATTCTCCCTCAAAAGCCTGCAAATCAACATGTTGTAATGGAAGACATCGGGAACAAAACCCTGGACAGCTTGCTTATCCTTCATGAGTCTCAAAGCACCATCAAGCTTCCGGGCATTGACAAGATCCTTTATCCACACACCATATGCATGATCCATTGAGATTACACCCATTCTCTGAAAATCCTCGACCAATAATGCAGCCCTCGAAAATTGATCACTCTTACACAAGGCATCCACAACGACACCCACAGAAGTATCGCTCAACTGTTTAGCATCATCACGGGCAAGTTTACGCAGATACTCTTCACCCCTCTCCAGTTCATTCTGCTTGCAGAAACTCTTCACCATAATCGAATGAGTGATCTTATTCTGATAACCTCTAAGCATAATCTCACTAACCACAGTCTCCACAACATCAAAATAACCATGATCGACGAGGGAGTTGAGGAGCACATGGTACGCTAACTCGTCCAAGTCCATGCCTGCAAACCGCATTCTGCCATACATGTGGAGGGCGGTCTCGGGTTTCCCTGCAACAGAATATCCAATCACCAAAATGCTAAAATACCTGATCCTGCGAACATATCTCTGTTTCATATATGTCTGGAGAAAGTCCATCATCAAGTTCATCATCTTGGCTTTGGATATAATCCGGAAAATGGCGTTGAACGTGACTCTCGTGTGGTGAAACCCTGGCTCACGGCCGACCCAGTCGAAGAATTTCAAGCAGGAGAGCACGTCCTTCTTGCCGTAATCTAAGACATCGAAAACTAGGGATTCCGACAGCCTGAGATTTAATCTGGAAAGAGCTGAATCGGTGGCGGAGTCATCTTGAGTGCGGAGGATCTCGAATATGCTGTCGAAGAGGGGGTTCTTACGGGACATGAACCAATCCTTGAAGTAGGAGGCGACCTCTTTTGGCTGCACCTCCGGCTGAGATTCATCCGGAGCAATGAGATTAAGGGCGGCAGGAGGCGCGGGATAGGATGCGGAAAACGGATAAGGGCCGTGCGACAACGAGGAGAAGAAGATAACGGCGGGGGTGATATTGTTCGCAACGGCGGAGGACGGCGGGCAGAGGAAGGGTAGAGTTTGCCTCGCGCGTCGGAGAGTTAGCATTATTTCTGTGTGGTGATGCGTATAGGATAACGAGTATCGTCTTGGGTTTTATAGGAAGAGTGAAAATAAGGAAGGGGGTGCGGCCATGGTGGTTTTCCGATCAACTCCAATCGCCGGCGACGGCGTAGAACCAAAGGTTTAGGGCACGACGGCGGCGGTGAGAAGTTGTGCCTTGGCTAAAAAGGTAAAAACCCCGTTTCTGTATGAAAACAGTTGGACGGCGATAATAATAATATGA